GAATTTTTAGGAGAATGTGTAATTGTAAAGTAGATAATTTTATTTGATATATGTGTAGAATATTTTATTGTGTGAATGTGTAGTTGAAAATGATTCCGTAACAACCTATAAAATATGTTTCAAACATGCACTTAATGCATTATTTTGCATATGAATTCAGAATAAAAATATAATGGGATCGTGTTTATAATATGTCTTACTTACTTCGGGATTATAGTTAAATAAAAATGGATTATCAATCTTGTCAAGCCCACACAATTCACATTATGCCCCAGTTTGATCTACATTATTATCTAATTAAAATGAAAAATATGACCGTTATCCATCACATCAACATTTAAATTCAAATTTTCTATCTCTTGTGTGGGCCCCAACAACGGCTATATTTTTTATTTTCATTTTATATTATATAGGTCGAGAATTAAAAAATATAATAATAGTAGGTGAATTCGGAATTTCAACACGCACATCTCGTACTTAATTGAAACTTTAGATATAGTACGATAATTTAGCTCATGTTTGACATCTTTTACTTTAATTTAATTTATTCTCGTACTCATTTTCAACCACACATTCACACAATAAAATATTTTACACGTAAATTTATTTAAAAAATCATACATTTTAACTACACATTATTTTTTAAAAACACTATTCAAAACAATGTTTTCTGAATTTTAAGAAAGTCAAACGGGAATTTAGATGCAAACAAATAAATCTCTTTTGTGTTACGTTTACATTTGAGTTTGATAACGGGTTCATATTATTTAATTTAAGATTTATTTCTTGTGAAACGAGACTTCTACTCACTACATCTTTACTTATCAATAATCCAGTATGCTTACGGGATTTCTCCAAATGATTTTGAATTTTTATCATTGAAAGTGATGTTCCAAATCATCTACTTATTTAAACATTTGAATCAAGGTACTCGCATAGGGGCGAACCCAGCACCCGACGAGCCCCCGCGGCCGTCCGTGCTGAATCCGCTGAAAGCCGAAACCTTCAAACCGCGGGGCGCCGTCAGGTGACTGTGTTGTAGAGGACAGAGAAAAGACAGGAAGAAAAACTGATGAAGAAGGGAAGGGAGGTAAGTTTTGGGCCTTTTTCTTTTAGTTAATTAAAAAAAATTTAGGCCTTTGTTTTTTTAGTTTTGGCCCTTTTGTTTTGGGCAGAGAGAATTGAGCCTATTTCAAAATGGGGTACTTACAACAATACCCTTAGAATTAGGAGTGTTTTGAAAAATCAT